TGGACATTTTACCCAAGATCAGTGTAGCTAGATCATAGGCAGTTTTTAGTTTTTGAGAAGCCTCCACTCCGATTTCCATGACGATTACACTAGCTTAGACCCATCAACAGTGAATAAAGATTTCTTTCCTCACATACACGCCAGTCTTTGTTGTATTCAGTTTCTCAATGGCAGCCATTTTGCCTGGAATGATAGAATCTCGAGGTAGTTTTAATTTGCATTCCTGTGATGCCTAAGAATATGGAAAAATACTAAAAGGATGTAATGGTCATTCATATTTCTGCTTTAAAAAAACTGTTTAGTTCATTAGCCCATTTTATAGACTAAAAGTTTTGGGTTTGGTGCCAAAACTCCAGCAACATTCTTCATAGAATAACAAGAGAAACCCCAAACCTAAAATCTGTATGAGACTAGAGAGAGCCCAGAAATCCTAAGGAAGAAGAACATGCCCAGATGAAACACAATAGCTGAGCTCAAACTACAGTCAGAGCCATAGTGGCAGACAGCATGATACGGGCACAAAAAGACATAGACTAATGGGATACCATGGAAAACCCTGGAATAAACCCACACAGCATACACACCTAATTTGTGACGATGTGTCAAAAACTCTAGAAAAAGATACAGCCTATTCAATAAGTGATGTCAGCAAAACTAGGATGCCCACTGTAGAAGAACAAAAGCAAATCCATTCTCTGCTCCTGCACAGACAGCAAAGCTAAATGGATCAAGGACCTTAATTTAAAACCTGAAGCACTGAATGTGCTCAAGGAAAACACCTAAGTAAACACCTCAGGATAAACACAGAAGCGAGAACTTTCTGGATAGAACCCCAATAACACACGAAGCCCCAAAATTTGACAAATGGGATTATATAAAGTTAGAAGACTTCCGAGTCTCAAAAGAAACCATCAGCAGGGTTAACAGAGAGCCCACAAAGGGGAGAAAATCTTCCCCAGCTATACTTCAGACAAGGGGTCAATATCTAGAATATATAAAGAACAGCAAAAATTAAACACCCGAAAACTAGGTGTTCTTTTGACAAGTGAGTTTGCCACACATCACTGTCTTTGCCATGTGCAATGTAAATCATGTTCGGGAACTGCCATGTGCTGTTTGAACTCACAGAGAAGCTGGCCCTGGATGTGGGTGGGGCTTTGCTCTCCCTTCCCATTTCAGACCCAAGCATATTTGTCCAAGGTCCCTTATCTACTGATGGGCTGTCCCCCAACTCTGTGACAAAACTCCACATGACAGCGGGGGTGGCCTATTTCACGATGCCAAGCAGGAAGCAGAGAAGGGGATGTCAATGCTCAGCTGGTTTTCCCTTTTTGTTCAGTCTGGGACTCCAGCCAATGGGATGGTGCAGCTCACACTCAGGATTTATGCTCCATGTTTCTTAATCCAGTCAGCTGGCAGTTGAAATTAGCCACCATGGGAGGCTAGGGGATTGTCACCGAGGAGACAACATTTGGGTTTGGTCATGAATCAGTGGGAGGTTTAGAGTCAGTCAAGCAGGAGGACATTAGAGTTGGATTAGCATGCTTTCTCTTTATGGTTCAAAGAAGGACCTGTGATAGCCATATCTGCGGTTTTGAATGAGTGAGTTTATTAAGACTATAGCAATCCAAAGTAAAAGAACAAATAACTAATAGTATAGAGATAAGAAAACACATCAAACCAGGCACTCAAAACTGCAGCAGAAATTGACGGTGGGGATCCTTAAAGGCAGTCACCTGGTGTTCCCATCAGAGCCGGTCCTGGGCAGAGCGGAGTGTCACCTCAGGTGAGGTTCCAAGACAACAAAAGGTAACATCGACAAATTGGGCACTGACAGCCTCCAGCAGAGACTGGGGAAGGTGAGGCAGTTGGAGTTTCCCACTAAGCTTTTTCTCCATGGCTCAGCATCTCATGGCTGAATCCCCAGTCTGTTTTTTCCCACTGCAGGCATTTTATAGTACAGGGTGAGCAATAATAACCTCTGTTGGAAAGGATTTACCTTTCAGCTGTTTTCAAGGACATAATGCTTTCACTTTGGGGCAGTTTTGCCTTCTTCCATCCAGTCTCTGCTGGAGGCTGTGAGTGCCCAATTTGTCGATGTTACCTTTTGTTGTCTTGGAACCTCACCTGAGGTGACACTCCGCTCTGCCCAGGACCGGCTCTGTTGGGAACACCAGGTGACTGCCTTTAAGGAGTCCCCACCGTCAATTTCTGCTGCAGTTTTGAGTACCTGGTTTGATGTGTTTTCTTATCTCTATACTATTAGTTATTTGTTCTTCTACTTTGGATTGCTACAGTCTTAATAAACTCACTCATTCAAAACCGCAGATATGGCTATCATAGGTCATTCTCTGAACCATAAAGAGAAAGCATGCTAATCCAACTCTAATGTCCTCCTGCTTGACTGACTCTAAACCTCCTACTGATTCATGACCAAACCCAAATGTTGTCTCCTCGGTGACAATCCCCTAGCCTCCTATGGTGGCTAATTTCAACTGCCAGCTTGATTGGATTAAGAAACATGGAGCATAAATCCTGAGTGTGAGCTGCACCATCCCATTGGCTGGTGTCCTAGACTGAACAAAAGGGAAAACCAGCTGAGCACTGACATCCCCTTCTCTGCTTCCTGCTTGGCATCGTGGAGTAGGCCACCCCCCGCTGTCATGCCTTCCACACCATAACAGGATGCACTTCTCTGAACTGTGAACCAAAAGGAGCCTTAAATTTCTAGTAGGTAGTGATCACAGCAAAAATCGTGGTACCACTGAATGAAAACATGCCTGTGATGTATAGAATTTTATGCTTTTGAGTAGCCTCAATTAAAAAGCAAAAGAATATGATAAATTTTAATAATATATTTCATTTAGCCAAGTAATCCAAGTCACTCAAATGCATAATGCAAAAAGGATGTAATATTTTCCCACTAACTCCTCAAACTTCAATGTGTATCTTTCATGAAGAATATATTTTAAATTAAGACACTATACTGTCATCAAAAATAATTACTAGTATATTCATGTAGCTACATAATCACTAATCCAAGATATTGATTTATAAAATGTACAGTTGAAAAAGTAGATTCACATTCCAAAGTTGTTTTAAATTTACTTGAAAGCTTTCTGATAACTGAGCTAAATATGTTCTTGGTTTTATACTGAAATAAAAATCAGGTAATAAAACTTGGTTCCGTGGTCACAGCGGCCGCATCTCTTTGCACACACGAGGATGCAGCTAGTGACTGTTACACTGGGCACTGCAGCATTGCCAAAATGGTTCGTGCATTTATCGCTCTTCCTCACTAAAGGCTCTGAGTTGCTCCGATCTTCCTCACTGCCTCGTGTAAATAAGGCTTGAGTCATAAATGGTGAACGTTTGTTGAGTCAATAAAAATAAACATGCAAATCATTTGAATCTTCTGCAAGATGAAATTGAGAGAATTCTTTTGAACAGACTATAAACAGCATTTTTATGAATATATACACACACAACTCCTCATACATATACAAGCACAACTGCAGCATGAACCAGGATATAGAAACAACCTAAATGTTCACAAGAACATTTAAGATATAGAAACAACTTAAATGTTCAGATGGATGAATAGAGTGGTATATGTATATAATGCGATACTATGCAGCCTTTAAAAGGAACAAATCCTGCCATATAGGACCATGTGAATGAACCCAGAGAACATTGTAGTAAGTGAAATAAGCGAGTCACTAAAGGGCAGACATTGCCTCTCCACTTCCATGGGGTGTCTCTAACAGTCACACTCAGAAGCAGACAGCAGCTACCGTCAGAAGCTGTGGAGAGAAGTGAGTGTGACTTCAACAGCGTGTGGGTAAGTCCTAGAGATCTGCTACCATATTGTGTATGGTTTGTAACATTCAACTGTGTTGTGTGCCCAAGCATTTAAGATGCTGGCTCTGATGTGAAGTGTTCATATCACAGGAGAAGAAAAAGAACAATAGCAAAGAGCCAAACCAAAGCAGCAACAAATATCCTCCGTGGTGTGTGGCGTTAACCATGGGGGAGCGGAGAAAGGGAATGTACGGCAACTCTACACTTCCTAAGACTATGCTAAAACATAAAGTCTACTTAAAAGAGAAAAGATATCAAGTCCATTTGTTACTGATTTCTTCAATAGTAAACATTCCATACATACCCACCTCATCCTCTCCTCTTCATCCATCCCTACTCATTCCCTTGGCAACTGTCTGAAGTTATAACTACTACTCCATAACACATCTTTATTTTCATTTATTACTAGTGGGGGAAGAGTGTGTATGGGTGTGCATTCTCTGGTACCCACATGGAAGTCAGGGGACAGCATTATGGAGTCATTTCTGTCCTTCCGCTTTACATGCCTCCAGGGACAGAACTAAGGTCATCAGCTTGCCCAGCAAGCACCTGTGTGGAGCCCGCTCACCAGCTGCCATGATGTCATTTCACATTCTCGAGCTGCTCTGCTCTTCCAATCCTCAACTTCTGGAGACATAGATCACTCACTGTCCTTTGCAGCCATCATACATGGATTAACGGTACAGTTTTTAATCCCAGAACTCCATGCATAGCATTAAAAATCAGTTCTTCAGTGCCTTCCTTTTCAATGATGCTTAATCTCTCAACAACCGCACGGATAAATACCATCATCTCCAATACCATCTGGACAATTGGGACCAAAGACCTACATATATAAGTGATTCTATTCATTATAATAATGTTTGAAATGTGTGATTGTCTTTCACCTCTAATAAGATGGGTTCATATTCCCAGGCTCCAGTACAACACATACATGCCCTGGTACAGTGCCCTCCTCAAACGCAGATTCAGCAGCCCCCATTTCCCTCTCCCATCTTCCCAATCAATCACAAGACACAGCAATGGGAAGGAAGAGAATTCAGAAGTGGAAGTGATATCTTCAGTCTTGGATACTCTGTGTCCTGCTGACAAACAACAGGGATAAATGAATGGAGATGTGTACATTTCCACAAAGGGAATCAGTTGGTGTATGCTTTATTCTAATGTTGGTTGAGTATGAACAAAATAAAACTAAATACAAAGACATCTATTGACTCAGTCATGGGGCTCACAAAAGTCTGTATTGGTATCCATTCTCTTCTGCTTGGCCCGCTCTTGGATGGTTGCTAACTCTCCAGCAGTGAACTTGGGAGTGAGAGTCACGTTGTCATAATCAAATTCTTCATCGAGAAAGAAGGGTTGCACTTCATCTCCAAATATCTATAAAGGTACCGAAGGAGGAAAGAAACACAGTCACTGAAGTGAAGATGAAGTTGAAAACATAAACAGCTTATTAATATTTAATGAAACTTTTTTTAGACGGTCGGCACTCTCAGCTGATTAAGCTGTTTTTAAGTAATGAAATAAATTCAATTATTCAATTTGACCTAATTTAAGCCTCTTAATATGCCCCATTTGATCACACTGTATCTGAATGAGTATCATTAACTAATTCTGCCCCCAAGGCAAGAATCAGATCTGCTTTGCACAAATTCATTTCATTCCTTGCCATACTACAGTGTCAGAGACAGAGGCATGTGGGAAAGCTGGACACTCCATTAAACAACAAGAAATACACCTTAAGGTCTTGACCAACCTTTACACCATTGGCTAAAAAATATCTGTTAATGAAGCGGTCTTTCCAAATGAAAGTAAAAACACCTTGTATGACTCAAGATAATAGTCATACCCCATTCTAATAACAGGAGAAATTAAAACACCTATGATCAAATTTAAAAGTCCAGCATCCCTTTTCTTCCTTTTTACATATTACACTTTGACCTGCAAAGAAAGGTAGTATTTTGTCCATGTTTATACAAATGAATGAGTTTTAAAGACCTTCTAAAGGATGAGCCAGTCAAAGCACATTTCCCAAGGCTGACGGTGAAACTCAGCTGATAGAGTACTTGCCTGGTATGTGCAAGATCCTATGTTTGGTCCCCAGCATGGGAAAAGGTTTCTTGGTTTGTTCATTTGCTTGTGTTTTAATATAGAGTACATGTTCCAGTAAACAGAAAAGAATGCCTTAAATCTCAATAATTCACCCCCTGAAAAATGCCACCCAAAGCCAATGGTATGAGATACAATGAAATCACACAGCGCCTCATCAACTCTATATGTATAGTGGTGCAGAAATAATTGAAAACTGTGGCTTATGCAAAAATGAAAAATGCCCTGAAGCTAGCTAGTGTCAGCTTTAAACGTTCTTGCATGGAAGAAGTTCTTCCCGAGTAGCTTCTGCAGCATGTGTGAAAAAGGAACATGCTGCTCCGAGGCTCCGCGCTGCTCCTACAGTGAAAAGACTATCAAGAAAGCTCTGCTTTCCCTGCCTAGCTGTTCAGAGTCCTATTAGGGAGGAGGGTGTTCAGTGCTAATAGCAGACTCCAGCCACTCATTGCCCTGTGACAAGAGAACCAGCTACTCTGATCCAACAATTTCCAGAGGCCTGAGCCTCTCCTCTGTGTTTTCCTGGGGAGGAAAATCAAGAGGTACCACTGAATGATTTCCCATCCTGAGCCTGCCCTGGTATCAGGAACCACGTGGGCATCAACAGCAGCCTGCCGTCAGCCCTGCCGGTACCTACTGAAAGGATACAGCTCACAATACCCTAAGACCAAGTTCTCAGCACAAAGGAGATTATTTGCCCCAGAGGGACAGAGGGCAGGGAATAAGAGACAGTGAGGGGAGATAGAGGATGAGGGAGAAGGAGAAGGGAACAGGGAGAGGGAGAAGGGATATTTGTCCTGAAGGAGGACAACGGATTGCCTCTGGATAGAGAAGACACAGAGACGGCACATAGGCAAATGGTGGTTTATAATGGTAAAAGGAGAAACTCATGTAAGGATGAGGTGTTTAATTTTAATTGACTATGTTAATTAGGGCGGCCAAATGGGGGCTTTTGTTTGCAGGACTTAAATACTTTGATAGCTAGACCTTGGTTATCAGCCTCAGGAGGAAGAAGTGGACAAATAAGGGAACAGACCTTGGTGGCTAGCTTTAAGACTATAATCTAATGGTTTTTAGCAAGGCAGAGAGAAAGGGGGAGAAGGGCAAGTCCTGCTGGAGCCATGCTTTCCATGCTCGGGACGGCTACAGTCCCTTCAGCTACTACTGCCTCCCAGTCACGAAGCTTTGAAAGGCTTCAGAACTTGCCCAAGGCTAGTAACGGAGAGAAGCCACATTTGAACCCAGGACAATATGCTTCAAATAGAGCCACGTTTGTTCAAAAGCACGAGTTCTTTGGGGAAAGAGCCCTTTTCTGGATAAGCGGCACAGTTCCCACAGCTACCACTGAAAATGCCGAAAGGCCATGTGCAAGGTCATGACTGTTTTCCAAAGAGCAGCTGCGGACATGGAGCAAATTAGCCTGCAGAGGAAAGTGACTGATGTGCCATGATCACTCTCCGTAATTAAATTTCTCCTCACCACAAAGTACAGGAAGCACTGTTGATAAGACTAGTTCTAATGAAGAAACACACACACAATGACACTTGATGCTCATGTCCAGAATGCAAGTGTCCAAGCCACCTCCAACTCTCGGGAGAAGTACTGAAACCTGCCACAGTCCGTCCTGCCTAACTATGCAGACGCCTGATTCTTACTGATCCTGGCCAAGATGGTGGAGGAAACTCTCTCTATGAATGTTTTTGGTCGTCGAGGACTTTTGAAGCTCTTCATGCCTTCGTCTAAAAGCAAAAGCCCACACATCTACTGAACTGCAGGTATCTCACTTATGTCCCACCCTAGGATTCAGAATCCCACCCTGATCCTTTCTCAGCACAGGCAACTCAGAACTCATCCATTCTCAGCACAGGCAAACACTTGGCCTTCGTCCACCTCCCAGGGAGACTAGGCTATTACTTGAAATTAAACAAGTCTCTCGGCTATGAAAATCCCTTTGATACCATACCATGCCCTTCCTACTCCCTGGTACATAACGTGTTTCCATCTCCCCCACCCTATACATATTCATTGGATAAGCATTGGTTAAGCATTAGGTACTGGGAACAGAATGCCAGTACAGCAAAACCTGGGTCTACAGGATTTCCTGACCCAGGAAAAGACAGTAAACAAGTGGTATCACCAACATGTGGCATGCTTGTCACTAGAATAACTGCAAAAGATAGAGCATGAAGCTCAGAAGTTTCATTTTCCCCCAATCAAGGATCGTCACTTTGCAGAACATACCACCAGCCCTGGTCCAGGTAAAGTAAGGCTCATAGTTTGGACTTCTCAGGGCTTCTGATCAGTACTAACTCCTATGGCCAAGTTAGTTCTTCAAAGATGGCCCCACCTAATGCCTTCTTATACCTCCATTTCCCTGAGTTTCTAATCCACATTGTGGCTGGAATATGTAGCATTATGATACTATAGGTGAAGAAATTCTCTTAAATGGAAAAAAAAAGTGTTTTTGCTTAAGGTTTTCCCCCATATAGTTGAATTCTCATTGTGTTGCATAATTTTCTATAGAAATTTTGAATTAATAAAAACATTAGCAAAGAATAGAGTTTTCTCAGCCATCTTATACCTGTCAGAATGGCTAAGATCAAAAACACTGAAGACAGCTTATGTTGGAGAGGAAGGGGAGCAAGGGGAACACTCCTCCACTGTTGGTGGGAATGCAAACTTGTACAGCCACTCTGGAATCAGTATGGTGGCTTCTTAGAAAATTGGGAATAAGTCCTCCTCAAGACCCAACCATACCACTCTTGGGCACATAACCAAGGAGTGCTCAATCTTACCACAAGGGTACATGCTCAACTATGTTCATATCAGCATTATTTGTATTAGCAAGAACCTGGAAACAACCTAGATGGCCCTCAACTGAAGAATGGATAAAGAAAATGTGGCACATATACACAATGGAGTGCTACTCAGCAGAGAAAAAACAATGATATCATGAAATGTGCAGGCAAATGGATGGAACTAGAAAATATTATCTTGAGTGAGGTAACCCAGACTCAGAAGGACATAGTATGTACTCACTCATAATTGGATACTAGATGTGAGGGAAGGGATGACCAGACTCCAACCCACAGCTCCAGAGAGACTAGATAACAGGGAAAGACCCTAGGAGGGACACATAGATGACCCTTCGAAGAAGTGGATGAGATCTACATGAGTGGACTGGGTATGGGGGAGGAGGGGTAGCAGAGGGCAAGGAGTGTGGGATGAGAACATAGGAAAATGGGAGGGTCAACCTGGAACAGGGACAGAGTGGGAGGACAGAGAGGTAGATACCATGATAGATGAAGACATTATGGAAATAGGAAGAGGCAGGGAGCTGGAGAGGCTCTCAGGAATCCACAAGGATGACCCCACCTTGGTCTGCTGGCAGAGGGTGCCTGGACTGGTCTACTCTGGTAACCAGCCTAGCAAATAACCTAGCTGTAATCATAGCGCCTTTGTCCTGTGACTGATGGAGGCAGATGCAGAGATCCACAGCCAGGCACCAGGCTGAGCTCCGGGAATCCAATTGATGAGAGAGAGGAGGGATTCTGCAGGTGGGGGACGTCGAGATCATGATGGGAGGGCATGCAGAGATGACAGACCATACAAGTGGAAGCCCATGAACTGTGGAGTGGTGGCTGTGGAGACCCCATGGGACTGAACTAGTCCCTCTGGATATGAAAAATAGTTGTTTGGCTTGGACTGCTTGGGGGGCACCCAGGCAGGGGAACAGGATCTCTCCCTGTTGCATGGGCAGGCTTCTAGGAATCTGGTGCCTGTGGTGTGACGCCTTGCGCAGCCTTAATGTAGTGGGAGGGGGCTTGGACCTGCCTAGGCTCAGTGTGCCGGGCTCTGCTGACTCCCCATGGGAAACCTTAATTTGGGGGATGTGGGGATGTGGGGTGGCTTGGGAAAGGGCTGGGGGGTGAGAGGAGGGAGGGGCTGGGGAGTGGGAGGAGGGAGGATCTGGGGGTGGTATGTGGAGTGAGTAGAAAATTTAATAAAGAAAAATGAAAAAAATAGAGTTTTCTGAAAGCTAATAAACTTGCCAATATAAGGATTAGCCACCTATAATGAACTTTTAAAAATAAAAATATAAAGTTTGTCACTTAGAACTATGTTATTAATAGCAGCTCTTGCTAGATAATTTTCTTTTTTCTTTTCTTTTCTTTTCTTTTTTGTTTGTTTGTTTTTCGAGACAGGGTTTCTCTGTGTAGTTTTGCTACCTGTCCTGGATCTCACTCTGTAGACCAGGCTGACCTCAAACTCAC